TGAAGTTCTGTAACCCTTGGAGACTCATCATCCTGCCATACAGAAAAACTGAACCAAACTGAATGTTACTATATTCTGCTGTTCTCTTTCCCTTTCATCAAAATGAGTGAAACCCACTGACAGTCCATTTTTTTTTTTCGCGCTATCCAGCTCAGCAAATATTCAGTGTTAACTCATTTTGAACTTCTACATTACTTCAACAGTTACGACTCCTTGGAGTCTTATTGCACAATATTGCCTGGCATTATATTTGCTCTTTGTCACCCTCATAAGCTAAGTGATACAGACATACCACAGATTCTACCAGTTGCTTTGTAAGTTTAGTGACCAGAATTCTGTAATGAAGACTGAGAGGTCTATTTCCAAACAGTGATGAAAGACAGGAGGGAATTACAATGATGCAATTCAGTCATTCTCACTCAGTGACTGAAGCAGTTCTCACTAAAAATTATTTTCTCTATGTAAGTATGGACCTAATCAAAGAACCACAGCACGGTTGAGGTTGGGAAGGACTTCTGGAGGTCACCTGGTAAAACCTCCTGCTTAAGCAAGCCCCCTGCAGCCTCAATACCGGCATGTCTCTCTTGTACTGGGGAGCCCATCACTGGACATGGTACACTGTGCTGGGCATCACCACTGCTAAATTGAGGGGACAGATCACCTCCATTCACCCGCTGGCAGCACTCCCTCTAATGCAGCCCAAGATACTGATAGCCTTATTTGTGGCATGGACACATTGATGGCTCATTTTCATTTGGTGTCCACCAAAACACCGAGGTTCTTTTCCGCCAAACTGCCTTCCAGCTTGCCAGCCTTCAGCATGCACTTGTGGTTATTCCTCTCATGAGCAGGACTTCACAGTTCTTCATGTTGAACTTCACGAGCTTCCAGTAAACCCATTTCTTCAGCCTGTCCAGGTCCCTTTGGGTGGCAGTATGACCTTCTGATGTATCAGTCTCTTCCTCCTAGTTCAGCAGTCTCTGCTGAAGGGTACACTGCTCCATCTTTCAGATCATTAATGAAGATGATATACAGGACTGGACCCATTATTGACCACAGGCCTACATTGCTAGTTACTGGCATCCAACCAGATTTGTTATTGCTGATCACGATCCTTGGTGTTTGGCCAAAATTGCCTCTCTTTGCTAGGATGAATAAAAGTTTTAACAAGAAAGCCACGGGACAATTCCTCAGTGACGACCACGCTCAAATGAGAAATATCTTCAGTGAAGCATGTTTATCTGAGCTTGCCAAAGAACATCAAGCATGCTGCATTACTTTGCATTTTCAAATCCCCACTGAATGAGTTGTCTGAGCAAACATGCACCTCTGATTATCCCTACAAAATGGTTTTGAATGCAGATAGCTGTGCTCTGAAGAAGAGAAAACTGGAAAGCTTCACTGGAGATGAATGATGTTTTTTTTTTTAAAGATTTCTATAGACAGAGCAATCTTCTGTACCCACCTGGCAAAACCTTGTCTTTTGACAATGATGCCTGTAACTCAGAGCTATGAAGAGCTTGGCATAAGTACCTTGTGCTAAAAACATTTTTCTCCATCTTCAGACCTTTACAATCACAGGGAACATGGCAGGACTTCTGTCACTTTATACATACTATGGTGGATTCAGAGGAATAAGCTTTTGTGGAAAGCATTAATGGAATTCAGGAGGAGAGACCAAGTCTTTGTGCATTGAAAACTCTGAAACAATGACTGCATCTGCTTGCATTACTTTGATACCCCGAGAAACAAACTATTTGAACTGCTTCCCTCTTGGGTTTATTGAGGTTGATACAGCTAGTGAAGGTTATTAAATGACATAAAGAGCAAGGAGTGAGCATGGTCCCTCATACTGCACATGGACCCTGCTACATGACAGGTAGTCCAGCTTAAAGTTTGCTAGCGAATACACACACCTCACACAAACCAGGCTGGATAAGACAGACACTTGACCTACTCAGCAGCTAGCACCAGGGGCCTGATGTGCCCCAGTGGCTTGCGTCCATGGGGGCTCTGTTGTGCTCAGCCCACTGGAAACATCTACAAAGAGCAGCACTCCCTCAAGTGTCCTGATGATAATATAGTCCTGAAGGAAGTCCTCATTAAAAAGGAAGCTAAGGAAGAATACTGCTCTTTTCTCCACCTCTGAGTAGTGGTATTTCCTGTCCCAGGCAGAAGCCATTGTTAGCACGTCATGGTACCCAGGGTACCTCATTATTATTATTATTATTATTATTATTATTATTATTATTATTATTATTATTATTATTATTATTATTATTATTATTATTATTATTATTATTATTATTATTATTATTATTATTATTTTAAAACTGCCAGAAGACTTATTTCCAAATTTGTTACACATGCATAGCAGAGAAGCTTATTATCATACGGTAACCAATTCTAACATCTGTGACAGTGCCATTTTTATATGTTATATCTTTTACTCCAGAAGCATTGAATTTAGCAGCAAAGGTGCTTGAAGGACATCTTTACAAACATTTTGACTCCTTAATAATCAAACAATCACGGTATTTTCAGGATTAGAGGAAAATAAAAAAGAAGATGACCTATTTATCTTTTCAAAAGTTTCAGTTGTGAAGACTTCTTTGTGGGTCTGATGTATGCTTGTAATCACCTTGAATGTCCCCAGAATACATAACAAGAGGAAGCTCAAAATGAACCGCTGTGAGAGGAATCCAGCAGCTGCCCCATGTTAGGTAAGGGCCAGTTTCAGCTGGCTCCAAAGGGAACTGCTGCTGCCCAGAGCTGAGCTGATAAACAATGTTGTTTGCACCTCTGTGAGAACAGATCTAAGAAAGGGAAAACAAAACAAAACAAAAAAACTGCCGCAAAACAACAGCTGGGAGAGTGAGAAGTGAGAAGCAGCCCTGCAGCCCCCAGGTGAGTGCAGCAGGAGGGCAGGAGGTGCTGCAGGCAGGCAGCAGCAGTTCCCCTGCGGGCTGTGCAGGGAGAGGCCCCTGGTGGAGCAGGCTGTCCCCCTGCAGCCCATGGGTCCCCCATGGAGCAGATCTCCATGCTGAAGCCCCCCCCATGGGTGGAGGAGCCCCCGGTGGAGCAGGTGGATGTGGCCTGGAGGAGGCTGCAGCCCATGGAGAGCCCCCGCAGGAGCAGGCCCCGGGCCGGAGCTGCAGCCTGTAATACACAATAAATGTTTGTTCATTGTCTTTTGTATTATAAAAACAAGGAGTTCTGTTTGAGGAGCAGGAGTTGCAAAAGCTTCCTGCTGAAGTAAGGAGCTGTATAGTACTTGGCTAGACACTATGAAAATTCTTTTTCTTAATGTAACAAAAAAGAGAACCCCCTCCCCTTCTCTCCTTCTGCATCTCAGTTGCCTCTTTTGTTCAAAGACCCTGCTGCAAAGCTCATGTAATCATCTCTTGATATGTTGCTAACCTAGTGGAGACAAAGCGTCAGGGACTGACCCTGACCGCAGCCCCCAGTCCCTGTTCCCCTGCACTGCTTGCAGGTGGGGAGGGGGAAGTAGAGAATTGAAATTGAAGTTGAGTCTGTAAAGAAGGGGGTGCAGGGGAGAAGTTTCTAGTTTGCTTTTAGTTCTAGCTATCCTACTCTTACTCATTGGCAATAAATCTTGTTAACATTCCTCACTCTTAATCTGTTTTGCCCGTGATGGTAATAAATGAGCAATCTTTCTGTCCTTATCTCAACCCGTGAGTTTTTTTTTTTTTTTCATATTTCCCCCCCTGTCCTGCTGAGGGAAGGAAATCAAAAAGGATCTTGGCAGGCACCTTGATGGTGAAGCGCCACATGTTTTTTTTGTTTGTTTGTTTGTTCGTTTTCCTTGTTTCATTGCAGTAAACCAGTGATCCTTTCATGAGTTATTTTTTTCTATAACCACTTAAATGCATTTCTTAAAAATGTGATAATTTCTATATATAAGTGCACATAATTCTAGACAAATAAAATGTAGATATTTTGCAGCTCTAAATAATCCAGTCCTTTCTCAAATGATGTATGAGGACCATTAAACACAGAAGGAATGTACTTGCTGTAACTAGGCATTTTACTTGGAGAAACTGAAGAACTTTGTTCTGCCTACACACCATGCTGGTAGCTGCTACCTGTGTATTCTCCATTATGACTCTAAATATGAATTGTTATTTGCAGTCTTTATCACCTATGAAGAGATACATATTCCATTAGTTACCTCTTTTTTACTTGTTAGAGAAGTCACACTTGTCAACGTGCACTGTGTGTTAAAAATGTCTCTTTAGGTGAATCTCATCCTTTCCTGATAATGGTCCTTCACAGTCCCCATCATCTGAAGAGAAAACCAGCAATGTTTTTGCTGTATTCTAACAGGCATTTTGAACATGGCTGTAGATAACAAGCACTTGAGGCTGATGAAATGGTGCATACTGATGCTGCTGAGAGAGGGGTCAGGGCTTCCGGAGCTAAGCCAGCTTTCAAGTCACTTAGGCTAACAGATATAATACAATACCTTTGCTCGATAGATTTTCCTAAATGCTGAAAGCACTCTGCAGGGTTATTTGTGAAGTTTTTAACTGATCTTAATGAAAAACAAAAACAAAAACCACAAAACAAAAAACCACACACGCACACACAAAAAAACACATTCTGCTGTCATTATTGTCTGAGAATGCAAACACTAGCATAAGCAAAGGAAGTAGTTAAGCCTGTTGTGAAACGAAGCATCTAAATGGGTCACTGTATTGTAAGCACATCTTACGATATATTTGCCAATGTTCAACCTAAATTCTTTCTCTTCCTGCTGTCAGGATTAGGTAATGCTATTTTCCCTTTCTGCTTCCACACCAAAGTGATAATTAATTAATGAATAGAAAGAAGTCTTCCCTCCCCCCCCCAAAACAAAACAAAACAAAACAAAGCAAACCCCAAAATTTGATTCTTCAGTTTAAGACAGTTAACTTCAAGAATTCAGAAGTCTGTTTATTGGAAGAAGTCCATTACTTCACATCTAAGCTCATTTTTTTCAGGTGCAAAGAAAATAAGAAGTACCTCTACTGAACTATGAGGAAGTTTTCATCAACAGCTAATGCCTAGAGCTCTGCTTTTGATTTTTCTTTTGCACATAAAGGTAAGCAAAGTTCTCCAGTCTGTCTCATTACACAGCATTAAAAATTCTTGATGTTGAAACACCTTTACAGTAGAGACAAGTGCTTTCTTTCAAATTTTATGTTTCCAGAAGCAGAAGATGATTGACAGTGAGTGCAAAACAGCCAACACAGGGAGTGAGCTTCCTCAAGTCTTCTGCAGCCCAAAAGATTTCCTCTGGAAGCCTCACTAGGAGAGGTAGGTGCTGCTGGCTTGGTCTGTATTGTCCAAACTCTGTAAGCTATAAACTGGAGCCTGAATTGTGTTGGAATTGAAATTTCCTCAGCACCAAAACTGCTATTTCTGAATGTAGCCAGGTTGCTTTCTGAAATGTGAAGGAGAGAATGGAATTTCTGAAAAGCATGCCAACTCCCCTTGGAGGTGTGAGGCAGCTGATGGCAATTTGACAGAGCCCCTGGTATGGGCCAGCAGGTAACTCTGCCCACACCACAGGTAGTACCCAGGTGCCTGCCTCTGGGGGTCAAGCCTCTCAGAGAGCCTGGAGCCTAAATTGGGAGCACCTCAAGCACTCAGGCTAGCACCTTGTCTGGCCAGGAAGTAGCTTTTGTACCTGCAGTAAATAAAGCAACAGACAGACAAAATGCTTTCCTGCACTTAGTTATGAGCCCAGATACATCATCAAGTTCTTTGTACGTCAGCCCAGCCAGCACTTACAGAGTATACACCTTAAAGGTATCTTCATGTTAGCTATTATTTTATGTTTCCCAGAAGGCTGTTCTAGCAGCCTACACCACTCAGCAACCGTTTCCAAATTATTAAGCTAAATTTATGGCCAGTTTGCTAATTCTTTAGTTTGTTATGTTTTTCTTCCTCTCGAGAATGTACTTCATGGATGTAGATTGAGACAAGAATCACATTTTTTTTCACTGCTGTTTATTTCTGTATTCCTGTTCTCACTTTTCTCTTTTATCTCCAGGCTATAATGAGCTGTAAAACATCCCTTTTCAAGTCAAAAATTCATTCATACTTTAAACTCTTAATTTTATTTGTTATCAACAGTTGGAGTTACAGAAAAAAGTTAGGTTCAAGCACTGGTGTTGAATGAATGGAAAACAATTTTCAAAATGATTAAACTATACAGTAAAAAGATATGGACTGTGATATATTTGCAACAGACTGACCTGATTATACTACTATGTTTGAATGCAACTTACAGAAAGAAAAATTACAGGAAAATCTGTTTCTGTTACAGAGAAGAGAAGCTGTGAGAGGTGTCTTAAAGGAAAAAATAATGCATTTAAGTTCACATGAGGTAATTTTTTTTTTTAATTGATAGCCCCAGGATATTAATATGCATAAAACCCCTGAATGTGATAGACTGCAATGCAGGAAAACTACAGAGTTTTAATTAGAACTCCTGTGATTGAAGATCCTAGATATAATTTTATTATGCAAGAACATTTGATTTTTAAATATGTGTTATTTTTATGTATATTACTAAAATGACTGGCTTGTCCTTTTTTTCCATTTATAAAGCATTTATTTGAAATATTGCACCAACATGTGACACGTAGCTGATTCTCAAAAGGCTTGTAATGTTTATGGAATGGTTTTGCAGTTTATAAATTTCTTTATCTCTGCACTTGTTTATAGTTAAGAAGATGAAATGATCAGATGGCACAAAACTCTGCATCTAATATTTTGAGTCATTTTGGCACAGCAGTTAAAGAATTTACTGAGGGTAAAATATCCTGTTCTCCTAGCTAGAGTGGAGTATCATATGCCTGCTATTTTCTGTTCATTAGCAATCTATCATGGCAGTGTGTACTCTCTGTCCTGTTGTTTAAAATGCAATAGCATTTTGAAGCATCATTGGAAACTAATGCTCCATAGTGAATTCAGAAATCACTGGACCAATTCAAGAAAGAGAAATCCACGGAAGGGTGATAAATATGAGGGCCGTATCTGCAAGTTGATGACTGCATTTCCCCACTCTTCTTCCTCCCTCTGCATCTGCCATCACCCATGGGCAGAGCCTTTCGGTCTGATCACATGTGCCTGTACCATTAAAGAGAAGGACTGAGACAAGGAGGATCTGAGCAACAGACCATGACAACAATTTCTTGAAAGCACCAGCAAGCTGGAAGTAAAAATCATTTAAATTCCAAGCTACCTGTGCAGAGCTGAGCCGTTGTATTTTGAGAGAATTCTTTAATTTGCTGAAGTGACCGTTTTCTGGTAGTCCAAGATATTTACACATTCTGATTAAAATTGACAGAGTCTTTGTTTGGGGTGTCCTGGTTTCAGCTAGGATAGAGTTAATTTTCCTCCTAGTACCTGGAATGGTGCTGTGTTTTGGACTTAGAATGAGAATAATGTTGATAACACGCTGATGTTTTGATTGTTGCAGGTCAGTGCTTATACTAAGTCAAGGACTTTTTAGCTTCTCACACTGCCCTGCCAGCAAGGAGACTATGGGTGCGCAAGGAGCTGTGAAGGGACAGAACCAGAACAGGTGACCCCATTGGACAAGGGATGTCCCATGCCATATGGTGTCATGGTGAACAATTAATATGGGGTGGCTGGTTGGTTTGGGGGAACTGCTGCTCAGGGCATCAGTCAATGGATGGTGAGTAATTGCAGTGTGCATCGCTTGTTTTGTACATTCTATTATTATCATCATCATATTGTTATAATTGGTATTATTTATTTTCCTTTTCTTTCTTATTAAACTGTCTTTATCTCAACCCATTAACTTTTATTTTATTTTATTTTATTTTATTTTATTTTATTTTATTTTATTTTATTTTATTTTATTTTATTTTATTTTATTTTATTTTATTTTATTTTATTTTATTTTATTTTATTTTATTTTATTTTATTTTATTTTATTTTATTTTATTTTATTTATTTCTCTCTTTATTCTTTCCCCCAGACCACTGGGGTGGTGGGGTGAATGAATGGCTGTGTGGTGCTGAGTTGCCTGTTTGCCACATTAACCGTAATGGGGGGGAGAGTTTCAGGGCTAGACTGTCAACTGCTGAAAGAGATAGTGCTGCAGCATCTGAAGCAGTGTTCCAATATACAGGGTGAACCTTTCACTCAGGGTCCTTTGGAAGAATGGGCATCACCCCAATCCTATAAATCATGTTTCCACCAGCATTTATCAGAATATCTGTGAGGCAATATTTTTCCTCAACTGCGTTATGTACTTTTTATTTTTCTAAACAAGATTACTATGTTTGCTATTCTCTACCAAAACTGCCAGACAAATAAAACTTATTTACTTACTCCCTAATCCTTCATCATCTTCCCTAAAGTGTAACAGTTAAACCAGTGCCTAATCTAATCTAAACTAATCTAGTGAATAACAAAGGCCTTGGAAATAAAGACGTCTTCTCAATTACATTGATGCAATCCTAAATAGAACATGTTATCTGAGAGGTTTACTTTGACTTTGTTAAAGATTTCTATGCTTCAGGGATGAAAGGATACACACCTGCAGGGAAAAACAAACAAACAAACAAAAACTTTAATCACATGACCTATGACAAATGTCTGTCAGCTGCTTTAAGTGCAGAGTGCTGCTTTGACTACTGGTTATAGGAAATTGTTCTCAGAGTTGGGCTGAAAATATGGCCCTTAGATTTTGAACAAAATTTTCCCAATTAAAGCTTGCTTTCTTGAAATTGTAAAGCTTGTAAATTATAGTACCCAATAATCTTCCTTGTTCCAGAACACAATGATTGAGGAACAACCTCTCCTTCACATGAATGATCACAGCTATGAACAATGGCAGATGGGTCCCCCGTTTTACATATCCAGAAAGGAAAAAGAGAGACCTGAACCCTGAAACCTTCCTTAGTTCTGCCAGTTGACCAGTATGCCATGACCAGTTCAGCATTTAGCTTGTCCATGTGCTCTGTGCATGATTTATGAGCCTTGGATAACATCTTCTGCTTCAGTATTCTCTCCAAAATGAAGAGTTCCAGATAGCAGCTGTTCATCTTTATCAGCTAAGAAGATGAGCAGCTAAGTCAGCTGCTCATCTTCATCATGCCAAATACAGGTCTGAAGATGTAGCCATGACAAGATTTTACCTAATTGTGTGCTCTTTATTGCCAAGGAGCACTTTGTGAAACCAATTTATTTATTTATTTATTTATTTATTTATCTATTTATTTATTTATTTATTTATTTTTTCATAGAAGCATAGAATCATAGAATATCCTATCCTGAGTTGGAATGGACCCACAAAGATCATCAAGTCCAGCTCCTGGCTCCACACATTATCAGTAAAATTCAAACCACATGTATGAGAGCATTGTCCAAACACTTCCTGAACTCCAGCAGTCCTGTTGCTATGAATCACTTCCCTGGGGAACCTCTCCCAGTGCCTGACCACCTCTGGGTGCAGACTCTTTCCCTAACCCCCAGCCTGACCTTCCCCTGTCCCAGCTCCACGCCGTCCCCTCGGGTCCTGTCGCTGTCCCCAGAGAGCAGAGCTCAGCGCCTGCCCCTCCGCTCCCTTCCTGAGGGAGCTGCAGGCCACCATGAGGCCTCCCCTTGGCCTGCTCTGCTCTGGGCTGAACAAACCAAGGGACCTTAGGCACTTCTTGTACATCTTCCCCTTCTAAAACCTGTGTAAACCGAAAGGTTTTGTTGAGCTCTTCCTTTGTAGAAAGAGCTCTGAAATCATCCCAAAGGTATTAAAACAAGTTTCAGCACACCGTAGACATCACTATGATTATTTTTTACAAAACATGTAAAATTTATCTGTGTTGAATTTCACCTAACACCTGTCTGGTTAGTTTCGTAATGTTCTTCTGGAATTTGTTGTCATAATTGCAGGCTTTTTTCAATGAATTAAACCACACACTTCACTGATCCCAGGGACATCTCTGATGACTCTTCTTCAGCATGAGGAATGAACACTAAACATTGCACTTTACTTTTGACCCTTTCAGCCAGATGTCAGTCTACAGAAAAGTGTTTTCTCAAATATTGTAGTAGCTTTACTTCTTAACAACTTCTAACATGAAATCATGAGAATCCAGCTGTATTATGCCTTCCACACATACAAGCCCACATACAAGCCCAATCTTGTCTTATTGACAAGATTTCACATAATCAGCAGGTGTGAGAGGACTTCCTTTTAGAGAAGCCATCCTAGTTGTTTCCCAGAAAGAATCCATCCTGGCTGTTTCCCAGAAAAAAAATATTTACCTCCATGTTTAATTATATATATATTTTTTATTTTTTATTTTTTAACAGAGACTCTGCCCCAGAGACTCACCGGGTCACTGGTTCCCAGGATCCGCTGCAGAGCCCTCTGAATAGGTGTGGCGTATATTGGCACCCCTCCACTCTGTTGCAGGGGTCATCAGTAGTGCCTGGCTGGACACCTTGACCGGCAGTTCTGCTGTTTTGTGTGTGGAGCCCTTTGGGACTCTTTGGTGATGCCATCTGTCTTGGTGACTTACTCTTGGCTCACTGACATCTTCCTGATCTAACACTTCCCAAACATCCTATTCTGATGTGTCTGCTACAAAGACTGGGGAAGCTCACACGCGTCTTTAATTCCAGGTGATCTGTAAATGTATTTTTAGCGTATTTATTTCCTGTTTCCTTTTGACCAAGCATACTTTTGTGGATTTTTTTATTGACGTTGATGAAACTATGTTTTTAAATGCCAGATTTAGGAAGGTGATACCTGATCAGTCCAAGAACTTCATGCTTTTTACTGTTGTGTTTTTCTTTTTTGCTTAGTTTTGAAATAAAGCACAAGATATGAGCTCATATAAAGATATGGCTTATTTTTTTTGTGTTTTGTTTCGTGGAGGATTGTTGGGTTCTCTTTAACCTCTAGACTACATCCAAATGGGTTCTTTTGGATTTTTTTGCTTTGTTTTTACTCATTGCCTCATTTTTAGGTAGCTTGCTTTTCAAAAAAAGAACACCAGCATTCTGGATCTATTTGACCTGCTCTCCCACTACAATAATCTGTACTTACTGATAATAAGCCAGCCTTACTGTTAATACAGAGCAACTCTCCTGCAGTGTTTTGAACTAGGTCCCACAAACTACTCAAGACCAAATTTATAATGGCATTTTCAAGGACAAGACAAAAATGATATTCTGATCAGTATTTAGTGAGTGCAAGAATTCTCTCCACACCACTCAGGGAGGTATTGAAGTTTTCTTTCCACAGGTCGTTGAAATCTTTCACTTTGATTTATCAACTGATAAAATTTAGATTAATACTTCCATCGCCCTGGTCACAGGATCAATATGATCTTAGCACTCAGTATGGGGATATTCACACACAATGATTACATAGTGGGCTCTTCTATGATGTTTTTACACTTAATATAATTCTTTCATGGGCAGCATTGCTGAATGTATTAAATCTGTTGCTCATGTAAAGTGAAATGCTAGGTAACATTGTCCAACCAATCCTGTTTCCAAGTACCCCAGATGCTTATTATGTCAGGGTTGTTATCTGATACCACCTATTGTAGTTCCTCTGCTTTATTTTGTCTCAGGAGTTCTGCTGGCTTTGCACCCATCATGAAGTTATCCTGCAGGTTTCCCTGATGTCACCAATCATGGATTCCCACTTCCACTTTTCCATGCTTTTGAAAGGGCCCTCTGTGCTGCAGGAACTTCTTCAGACATTGTGTGACATCCATTAAAGGGTTGGATACATATAAGATGTAAGACTTTTCCTTCCTAGCAGATAATTCTCCTTCCTAATGATGTGTCTTGCAGCTCAGGGAGTGCAGCAGCAATATAACACCTCCATAAGCCTTCTCTGTGAGCTTCTGTTTCTCTCAGGTGCTCCATTTCAGCTACTTTTACATCTGAAGAACAAACTGATCCTCTCACTGCATATGTGCATAGTCCTACTGCCATGTGAGGCCACACTTTGTACTTTATCCCTTAACCTCTGTAACCTCCACTCTTTTGGGGGGCCTTCAAACACCATTGTGATCTTAAATATTGGTTTGTTATTTTGTATTTCTGTATTTATTTTTCTTGAAGAGGATAGCTTTTTTCTTTATCCTTTGAAACAGGGGTTAAAATTTCTGTCCTCTTTGTCTGCTCTATTGTCATTAAGAAGGTCAGCAACAGAAGAGAATTACAAGAAGGTGTGGCAGAGGTGGCTGACATTCTCATCACCCCTTCATCTGCATGGCTACTGCATTTTATGTTTTCTGGTCATACACACTTTCTGTACCTGGGTCAGGATAACAGGGAGCACCTTGCCCAGCCTACTCTCTGTCCTGTAAGTGGCAGCTGCCCTACACTCAGAGCAGTGTATGCTGCCCCTGTGTGATCCCAAGCACCCACCCTGAGCAAGCAGTCACCACTGATGAGCTGGAAGCTTTCTGGAAGCCAGACCTTGCTGTTCTTCCTCCTGACCTCTGCAGGCAAAACTGCCATACCTCTCTTGCTTTCTGTCAACAAACCTGAGACTGGCAGAGTTTTACAATATCAGTTATTCAGTAACTGGCACAGGAGTTTTGGTGGCTGTTGTTGTTTTTTATCCTTAAAAGGAATAAGGGCCCAAATATGCCACCTTTATTTATAGCAATTCCATGCCATTTTGCATGTCATTCAGCAAAGTAATTAACTCTTTGGGTATTGACTGAATTGCTTTGATAAATATAGTTTTAAGTAAGAGGCATTACTGAAACCAAAAAGATTGTTGCAAGGTCACTTCATAAAACTGGAACAAGATGGCTGGTGAATACTTTTACTTTAATAGCTGTATTTTTAAAATAAGATATGTAACTTTATTAGTATTTTTACAAGTGTCTACTTTACTAATATCTGAAAACAGTCAGTCACAGGTAAAATTTTTCAATGTAATAAATTCAAACAATAGAATCCAAGGATTGGCAAATAAAACCATGCTTAGGTTTGCACACGTTAGTGAATTGTTGCCGATGTATTTATGAAATTATCTGTCAGTAGTTGCATAAACAGGATTCTTGGTAAGAATCCTAAAAACAGCCTGCTAATATCAGGGAGTTGGAGGTTATAAAGGCGATGTTCTTTCAAAGAAGTCATATTCACTGTGAAAAAGCCTAATTATTAAGCCAGTGAATATGAAAAATCAACCAGTGTAGGTAGGTCTAAATGGAAATGTACTTTCTTTTTCCATCATGTGAGTTCATGAAAGTGGTTTCCAATTTAAAATCAGAGGGGTTAAACCTTTAAAGCAATCTAAATGAACAGTAAGTTGAGTACTTTATGACCTAGTGCTATCAGACAAATTGAGAAGTAATATCAAATGAAAAATAGGAATTATATATTAATGTGAGAATGAATCATAGAGATGAAGAACTTAAAATCTTTAATATTAACAATATTCTAAGGTACATGACAGAATTACCGTGTATTCCTGTGCTTTAAAGTCTTTTGTTAACTTTAAATACATCATGCTGACATACAGTTCAATTTCTTGAGTAAGAGAAAAGTTTAAAGTGAGACTGAAGAAAAATGAAGTATTTGATCTTGTTAATAGCATACAGATAGAGAAAAGTGAAGTTGGTTTGGGTTTGGACCTAACTAAGCCCAAAGCAAGAATTATTTTGATATCATGTTAATTTTTAGGCCATGACAGTATTATACTTGTTAGAGTTCAAATATTAGCACTAGAGCCAGTTTTTCTGCTGTAAGGTTGCAGAGAGAGAGTCCCTTCCCAGGAGAAATTCAAAAGCTGTTTTGACACCATCCTGGGTAATGTGCTGTAGATGACCTTGACTGAGCAGGGAGGTTGGCCGAGATCTCCAGAGGTTCCTTCCAACATCATCCATGCTGTGATTCTGTGATACTGCCACTCATGCCTTTATTACTCACTGTAAGTATCAATGTCTTGATACCTATTTAGAAGGAGAGAAAGAAGAAAAGTAGAACAGAAGGAATAACTTTAGCCAATTGAATCAAGTAAAATAAAATTAAGTTAAAATAATGCAAAACAGTCAAAAAGATAAGATACTGAAAGTTCCTCTTAAAAACACGGCTAAGTCAAAAGAGGTTTGCGTCAGTACAGCTTAGTAAGATTAGCAGGACAATACCAACACTTTATGTGTCTTGATCTGTGGTTGGTCACAACAATAATTTTCTGGTCTTGCATTAACAGAGCAGTATCTGGAGTGCAGCAGTGCAGAAGTGTCAGTACTGCCACCAAAATCACACCACTGAATGGGAGGCTCTGGGTCAGTTTCCCTTGCAGGCATGTTGAGAAAGGGAAAATCTTCTGGCTCAGTCCAACACGACAAAGCATTGTTTCTGATAAGGAGAACACCTGCAGAGTTCTTTGGTTGCTTGTGAATTGGAGGACTTCCAAAGTACCTTCTAATTCTCTTCTGCAGTTTCAGTGGAAACATAGATAGTGCATACTAAGAAATGGAAAGCAAACCCTTGCAAAGTCAGTCTTTGTCATGCTAAAATCTCTCTTGCTACACACTGCAGGGAATTGATTGCATTTCCTTCTGCTTGGTGTTTAGCCACATTTTATCATTTCTTATCATATTGCAGTAGATTTCAGCCAATAAGGATCAGTGACATGGGGAAAAAGGATATCAAATGATGGGGATGACTCACTTCATTTTTATTATTTTTATGTTTGTGCTATTTTATTTTTTATTTATTTTTTATTTTTTCTAGTTTTCACTTAGCTCTCTGCAACTGTTCAAAGAGTGGAATTTGAGGCACTGGATGATAGCAGGGCCACAGGATACTTGATACTTGCCACAGGATACTAGAGACCATAAGGTCCTAGGCAGCTCTCTGATCTTCAGTAGCTGAACTGAGCTTTGCAAGATGTATAATTTTTACTGGGAATAACAGAGAGAAACCAGGACAAATATCCATTAAAGAAGGTAAAACATTGTTTGTGTAGTAAATTCTAATAAACTTACAGACCAATGACAGAAGAACAGGAAGAGTGTGTTAGCAAGCAAGGACAACTCTAAAAGGACTAGGAGGGAGGAGGAAGATACCCCCATCATCCACTTCAAAGTGCTTCCAACGAGGGATTCTGGATGCTGATGACTGTCTACAGATTCCCTGTTGGTTGAAGTCATTGTCCCAAGAACCCAGAGGGGCATGAGAAGGGAAGCCATAACATCAGAGAAAGAAAGGTAACAAATTATTTGTATATGCAGTTTGAACTGAATGTAATTGGAGCCAGAATTAGTAGGATCACTGTAATTGGACTGATAATGGTTCTATGCATGGAACAACTGGGTTAACCATAAGCAGTGTTTCTTTAGACCACATGAATCGTGTGATCTTCAGTATAACAAACTGGCAAAGAGTTCAAACATCTTAATTTGTAATTTAGGTGCAACAAAGTTGTAAATGAATGGACATGACAGATCTGCTGTAGAAGTTAGTTTAGTTTATACTCTCCCTTAAAATGATGTGACATACTCGTTTCCCAAAGTTCAAATATGAATGGTAGTATGCTGACCACTGCAGATGTCAAGGTGAGTCCTACACGTTTTAATTCACAATTTAGTTCACTAAGCATAGTTACATAACTTCACTGATTCATGCAAATGAAGACCATTTAAGTTAGGGCAGTTACATAAATGAAGTCCTAACTGACAAGGCGAGAGATAAATTTCTCACCAGTTTAACCCAGTGTTTCCTGTATGTCTAGGGAAATAAAGAGATTTTATTGTTTCAGCTAATCTCTTTCTGAATGTATTTTGGAGAAAGTTATTTAATTTCCTTCTATTTCTCCATATGTTTAATAATATATCCTATATCTTATATGGCAAATATGTATGAATACATCACATGAAAAAAAGATCACTGGGTGACCATAGATTGCAGTCTAAAGCAAGTGATGATTTACCATGGAAACTTAGAGCTCTTCATCCTCTTCTTCCATCAGTGTCATTCATTACAACCTGCAACCTCCCTCTTCTGGTTTAGAATGAGACATTTCCACTACCATTCCAGTTTCAGATGATGTTCTGCATCTTATGGCTGTCATGAATAAAATGCTTGCTAAGCCATTGTTAATATATATTTATTATCTGCTGATCTGGTATTACTTTTCATAACGCTTTTCAGTAAAAAGTATATATTTTTACAAGGTGAAAAACTTCTCTCTCATTGTCTGGAGTGGGGAGAAAAGTGGAAAGAAATCTAAATGAGATTTAATTTTCTTAAATATTTATCAATTGCTTTATTTAAGTCATTCAAGTGGACGCCCATTCTTTAGTATTTCACATTGCCTCATGAAGCCTATCCAGTCTCTTCTTTATAGAAAATAAATCTGCTGGAGTCTCAGGGAGAGTACTACTTTCTCATTACACATGCAATTTCTTTCCTGACAGCTGCATGGCCAGTGGGGCAGAAGGATGCCACCAGCCCATTAACCTACATCTCCCATAATGCTAGTGCAGCTCGAATGTTGGAATGGTTCAAGGAAAAGCACTTCAGCAATTCTTTCTGCTTTTGCAGCTGCTCAGCATATCAGAATTTTCATTGCACATGGAAAAGATACCCTACTTCTGCAATCTTGTTAGGCTTTAAAAATCATGTCCCCAGCCTTCAGAATTGAAAAGAAGCAATGCCACAGTATATGCCTATTACACTATGCTAGCTGGAATTGGTAAGTAGAATCATGGAAGTGTACAGGAACAGTTTTGCAGAGATTTTTTCACTTCAAGCTTCTTTCCAAGCTGAAATGAAAACAAGGTGAAGCTCGCTAGTGACGCCAATTTTTGCAGGGCAAATTATTAATATTAGATTAATGATAATTATCAGTTTAAAAAGTCACAGAAAGTTCACAATTCTGCATTAAGGATGAGATAAACTTCATTTTCAGTAAATGGAAAGTAATGTATATATTAAAAAAACAACCTTAACTATGCATACACAGGTTCTCAATGAAGTTTTCACAGTCAGCAGAAGTACACAGGAGTCAGTGCAACAGTTGTCTGCCTTGCATCTGTCAAAAATAGTTAATGGTTAGCATTATTAGAAAGGAACAGAGAAAATAACAGAACATACTATTAGCTCCATAAGTCAAGGATGCCATTTTGGATATTAAATGCAGTTCTGGTCCCAATATCTCAAGAAGATTATAGTAGAACTGTAATAGGAACAGAAAAGAATTGAAAGAATTATTAGATATATGAAACCACAGTAGTGTTATAAAGAAAAATGAGTTAAATTTACTAGATTGCTTCAACCTGGAAAAGATACAACTGAAGGAAGAATGTTAAAATGGTAAAAGTCCATGAATATTATAAAGATAATAGATAGTGCATAAACTGTATCTTGCTTTGCAAACAGAAATAAAGGAAAGGGACATGAAATTATCAGGCAGCAGAAAAGAGAAACACTTTTTGTATATTTCCATGTATTGCATATTCCATGTAATTCAATTCCGAAACTCACTGACACATAACATTGCTGATGACAAAAGTTGTCATAGGTTCAAAAAGCAAATAGACAAGTTTCTGAGGGAACAATTCAGTATGAGTGTTCAAGATAGTTATTTCATATAATATTCAGCTCAGGAAATCAGTAAGCTATGGATCCCAATAACATTGTGCATAGGTCTGAGACAGCTCATCATTCTCCTTTATCATGTCATAGGATAGTCATAGAAATCAGATACAGGTTTGGGCTAAACAGCTCTTGCTTACCGCAAGGGTAGTTCTGTGCTTATTAGCTACCAAGGCTAATTTCCTTTAAATTAAAAAGTATTTTGCAGTGGGAAAAGCCATCACAATTGAACCTTTTCACAGAGTTAGTACTTCCCAGTTTTGTTGCCAGGTAGGCAAAGAACCACTGTTCTGTGTGCCAAAAAGGGTAAACTCCTCCAATATCTGAGGCAATGAGAGATCCAGAAGGAAGTGCAAAACTCAGGAAGAAAATAACATATATATTCCAGTCCTAAAATGCTGAAGTTTTGCTTTATTAGCTTACATTCATTTACCTGTCAGGAAACAGTTGGAGCTTAGCTATGAGGGGACATATGCAGAGCCATTATTCAGAGTGACTTGGTAAATATTTAACAGCATATGAGCCCTGTGTGGTTTCACTCAGGATGTGTGTGAAGAAATCAATTTGAGGTGAAAGTGCAATATGTCTCAGCACAGATTTGTCAATAATGAGATATTCAATCTGTTTTCTGAAGGGTGTGAACCTGCCTTAGCTAGAGGTCTAATGTTTAATGGAGAAGTGGGGCCAGGACAGTGCCATTGTTCTTCTGAGTGGCACTATGTTGTATAAGGAGAAGCTTTCATTCCTTCCTTTTTTATTTTCTGTAGATCATCCGGATAACATCAAGGTGAATCTTGCTACTGCAGGTTGTCGTTCCAGCTCTGGTCTACTAGAGACAGTGACGGTGAGCTTGGGGAACCTCTGTTCTTCCAAGAGCAGGGGGCAGGGGGTTAACTCCAAGGCCCAGGGTCTTGGCATCACCCCAGTTTAACCATTGTTAGCTTAGTAGGGCCAGTTGGAAAGATATTTAAAATCACTGAGAATGTTTTCAAGCTACTCAGCTTTTTTACTGTGCAGAGAGAAAAGGAGAAAAAATAAGGACCCCAAACTTCCTCCCTCTTCCTTTGTGAACTGTTTCAATTTCTTTTATGCCAATCATTTTATTTTCTTCAGAAGGTACAAAAATTTTCTATATATTTTTTTAAAGAAATATCAAATTTTTGCCAAGCAGAGGTTGAAAATTGATTGAAGTAATCCTTTCCAATGAAGTCGTTGTTCTAACTAACTGATGGTAAAATATTTTAATTAAAATATCTCCCAAACAGCTCTGAACTGACAACTTTTTAGGAGGTTACTATTTCTTATAAATTTATAAGGTTGGTAGGTCTGTGGAATTATTTTCCCATGCTTGTGTTTTTTGTTATTCTTTGTACAAAAGGAGACTGTTTGGTTGAGTGGGATAAATGATTTTATTTAAAAGGAACGCAGGTGACAATTGAAGAAACTAATTACTTGTTACACAAATATTGGTAGGAAGTCAATAAGCACTTTTTTTTTTTTTTTTTTTTTTCTTCAGAGCAACTAGACTTTTGAGACATTCTGACAAAAGAAGCTTCGTAAAACTACTCATTGCTTTTGGGTAACAGAAGCAAATGAAGGAGAATGAGAACATTTATTTGTCCAGTCAAGTTCGTTGATTAACTCAATTATACAATGGATGAAGATATTTATTGATTTGAGATTGGTTCAGCCTCAAGCACTGATAGGTTTGCCCTGGGCTTCAGCCAAGTCTTGGAGGAAACTGCTCAAAACTTCACTTAAAAGACATTGCAAAACACAGATATGTGGTAATTTAGTCAGACAGATTTTTTTATTTTATTTGTGAGTGTGTGTGTGTGTGTGTATGAAAGCTGTGAGATAACAGAAAACTGGAGACCAGATATTTAAAGTAGACTACTCATTTTCCAGTCTGTGTTAAAGTCATTTGGACACAACAACACACCATGGTACAAAAACGAGGAATAACACAAAAATTGCCTGTGGGTGGAGGGAACTCACAGGGACACATGGACAAGCATACCCTTCCAACAGCACCCATCATGCTCAGTAACTTGTAAGAAATGATTCTTCTTCAATGTGATATTAAATTTAACATTTTGAAAGGATTTATCGAAATTGGAGAATTCAGAGGCAATGCATTTGTACTAACTCCAGAAATACTGAATACAAGTGTTTGTAATGCTCTGCTGAAGATCACCAGAGATTCTCTGCTTATGGCTAAGGCTTTGTAATCTGCATCCTGTAATTATATATGTTTTACTGTCAAACTTGGAAAGCAAAGGTCACAGCAGTAAACTTGGTAATTCAGTTGCTTCCAAGGTGTTTCCTCAGTCTCCTAACGCTTTTGGAGTAAATGTGCTCCCTCTGAATAGTGTTTTCCAATGAGCTAGGAGCACAAATGATGCTAATTCTGTTAGACGAAATGAGTATGTTTTCACAGTATCTTTTACAATACCTGCGGTGTAAGCTTCTGCTCGTGTGTAAAAGCTTCACACTGAAGTGATCTGGATGCTATATATTTAAGCCAAACACAACAGTGTCTCACATTAACTAAATTTGGAGACTTGAATGTTCTAAGCAGGAGTTGCAAGCTATAGTTCATTAGATCATTTCGTTAACTAGAGGTTCAGAAAGCTCTGATCTTGGAGAGATTAAAGGAATCGTGAAAGACAGGCTTTGCTCAGAGATTAAATTATCCAGTTGTTTTTCCTACCTCTATGATTAAGATTTTATTTATTTATTTATTTATTTAACCTCTGAAGCTTCTATATCAACTATGTCCATCATTTTAAGGAAGACACAAAATACCAGATATAAGGTTATGGGGTGGTGAGAATGCATTTAATGAACTTCAGCAAAAGAGCAGGGCTACTGTCCATTTGGTCTCACCCTCTTCCCCCTAAGCCATAAATGTGGTGCTGGAAAACAGACCTTTCAAGCTGATTTATAGCTGTTCTTACTATACTTACAGGACACTGAATTTCTCAACTCTTTTAAAATGCCATACATACAATCATACAGTCATTATCTTATTTGATTTTCTCTTGTTTTCTCTTATGCCATGTTTTAAGGTAACAATAAATGCTCTGTACACTGTTTATGACCTCATTATCACTTACTGTTAACAACAAGGAAGCAGAATTTTCTTGTAAGTAGTAAGTAATTTCCTTAATTTTCAAAAAGTAAACAGGAAGCCCTAAACTCATTGCAGATAAGCAGAACTTACATGTATAACATGTATAACATGTATAACATGTATAACAAATTAACTTTCTAACTCACCTGACAATGGTGAGGGAAAAGGAAAAGGAAAAGGAAAAGGAAAAGGAAAAGGAAAAGGAAAAGGAAAAGGAAAAGGAAAAAGGAGAATCTTTCTCCAAGGGAGTTGAATATTTTGCCATCCAGGAATCAAGATAAAATTAGTTGAAAATTCATACTACTTAATAAACAGACTGAGCTTGGCCTATGAAGTCTTAGGGATAATAACTTCAAAGTTTTCAGTGCATTAGATCATTACTTAAGAAAAGAGTAAGAAACTTGGCAAGTTTATGTCACTCGATTTTTAGAGCTGAAAGAAAAATACTGTATATCTTGTAATAAAGCCCCAAGAAAGACACTGAATCACATGATATCAAGAAGATTTAGTCAGATAATATTTAGCAATTTGGATCAGATCCATATCTCATATAAGCTGTCATACCTTCAGTTCTCTAGCTAAAGTATGAAAATTTACTTCAGCTGAATATTTTCACTATAGACACTGACCAATACAAGCTTAATACTACCTTTTCATTTTGTTGTGTGAGTGAAAATAAAAAGTGTTATATTATGTCTCTTGTGCTTTGATGACAAACCCAAAATTGGCTTTAACTGAACTTGTCTTCAGGTTTTCCACTCTCTCTCTCTTTTTTTTTTTTTTTTTTTTTTCCTACCCCTCCCATGTGTTGGCTCCAAGAAAATCAGACTGTACTCAATTATTGTGTCCCTTTAAAATTTTGGTAAGATTGTATGGAACCATGGTGATTTCTAGCTGTTGGAGCAACAGTAGAAACAGTGACCTCAGGGGAAGTTTGTTAAATTTACATATTTATTAAGACATAAGGTTTTGTAACACCATAATGTTGATTTTGTCAGATATACCTTGTTTGAGCTAAAAGCTAGATTACCTAATATTTAGTCACAAAGGTCTGAATAGATGTAGCAAAAGTTGAAAATGTGCACATAATGTGTTAATACATTTTGTTAATTTATTCTCTGTAAATACTGAAAAATAACATGCTTTAAAAAATACCTGCTTTAACTATTTTCTCAAGATTCCAGCGCTTTTTTTTTTTTTTTTTTTTTTTTTTTTTTTTTTTTTTTTGACACTAAGTTTGCTATTAAAACAGCAGTTAATGAAATTCATACAATCTACACATTATACTCATACTTTCAGGC